CAGCTGGAGGCAGCTGTCAGCTGCCTGTTTAGTTTATGGCCAAATCTCTGACTCGCCTAATCTTTTCTGAATAGATTGGGATATTTAGAATCAATTTGGAGCTTTAACTTGGTTTCCTGATTCGATTCAGATTTGGATATTTGGCCCATGAATTGGGCTGAATCTCCTCTGAAATGAGTCAGCTACCGAAGCTTCGCACAGCCCTAATACTGAGAAAGTGAAACATGTCCTGTCTTTTGTATAAAAGGACAAGTAATATGTTCCCTCCAAATTATTAAGAACTAAAAATATTTTTGTTGCCTTTTCTACTCTTTATCTTTGGGCCTAATGCTATAAAAATTTATCTAAAAAATTCCAGTGAAGTCTGTGTGAATGTCTGGTGTGCCAAGAATATTGGATTAAGCAATGTATTTGAGTGTGGTATTTGTGTGCGTCTTTCCAAGTACCTCCAACAACTTACTGGACACTATAATGAATTACTCTTCACTCAAACTCAGCCATATATGAATTTTTTTTTTAATGCAACAGAACTTACGAAATTTGTAAAGCTGAATTAATTTCCTTGAGCAGCTCTTGGGTCTTATTAAAATCTGCCAGCATACTTTGTTTCTCTCTGATGTGGTCTGCTGTCAAGACATCCAGTTCTTTCTCATGTTTCTTGCTTAAATCTTGCTCATGCATCCTGTTTAATTTATTTTTTGTTAAAAAAAAGTTATTCTAACATTAGTCTGTTTTGTTTGTCATGATTTTCTGCCAGGTTCGTAATGACTTTTTGCACAATACCAAACAACACTGAATGGAATTACTGAATCAACAAATCCTATTGCTTAATTTTCTCTAATCTTCTAGTTTATTTCATGGAAAAGCCATCTCCTTTAATGCTTTTTGAAATAAATAAAAACCAATGAATTTTTAAACAATACTTAGGAAAATTTTAATTAACATAAGCAAAATGTTTTGAAATCACAGCTGACTAATACTAACTTACTTTACTATACATCAGGAGTGGGCAATTATTTTGGGCGGAGGGCTGCTTACTGAGTTTTGGCGAGCCATTGAGGGCCACATTACAGGCAGCCAGGAGTAGATAAATATTAATTTTCTAAATTTTATAGGGGCTCCACGGGCTGGATAGAATGGCCTGGTGGGCCACATCTGGCCTGCGGGCCACATTTTGCCCACTCCTGCTATACACGGTACTAGCATTTTCTATCAGAGGGCAAATCATACTGTTACATGACTAAATACCTAACAAGACAAAGAGGCAAGTATCTCTCATAAACAGCAGTCACTGAGATTAGTAACAAAAAAAATTTTAGTTTATAGTAGGAAAAATTCATACCTGATCTGTTGGTTGGATTCACTGCGTATTCTAAGAACTTCTTTCCCCTTAAACTCCAGTTCCTTGGTCAGGGCACTTATATTCTCATGAAGATTAAGAATCTCTTTATCCAGTTCAGCTATATGATGATCTCGGTGTCTCAGCTCATCCTGTAGATCTGATATTCGGCACAAAAATTCCTTTTCCTGTCAGACAAGCAACAAGTATAAAGGATACTTTAATGGATTCCTCTTCCAGATGTACAGTACTTACTTGTGGGAGATCATAATATACCCTACTTTTTCTATCTTATTATGATTTTTCTTTATTACCCATTACCAGTGTTTAAGTAATAAGTGCAAGGGTACAGCATTATTATCCAAATACTGATAAACAAAATAAGACAGAAGATCAAGACCATTTTTTCATTGTGTGAACCAGGGGTCCAAATCAAGAGCTTAGTTTCATTATGCTGATCACAGTACAAATATGCACAAAGAGCTTAAAATTTAAGCAGCAAAGTGATTAATGAAGGGTAACAGTAACAGAAAGGAAGGTTTAAAAAGTATTCTCTCTCCAACATGTCATCACGCATTACAGTTAACATGTCTCAATACTTCTTAAAGAGTTTACTAATAAGAGATATTGTCCAGTCCAAGACATACTCTGCATGTATTCCTTCCCAAACTGGAAACAGAATAGTACCAATAAAAACTCTGCCTCATCCTGCTTTATTCAGGGGCAAGCTGCTCTGATTGAACTTCCACATACTGCAGGATAGGAATGGACACATGACTGAGTTCTGCAAAACAGCTGATACGAAGTAAATCCCCTCCCCACCTTTTATCTTGGTATAATTTGTCTGTCCATAAACTTAGAGATGGATCCTGATCCAGAGCCATGTCACTGCAGTTTAGGGCACTTAACACATTTTGAGATAGTGTAGCCTGTACTTGGCTACAGTGTGTGCTCAGTAGGATGTGCTCTGCCTGGGCAGCTGCCCAAAGTGAAGAGAACTGCACAGGCACATGTGTAATGTTTTCTATCTACCTTACAGTCCATTCATCCAATCCAGACTTCCTTAGCTCACTTGCAAGAATGTTATCAGTCATATCAAAAGCCTTGCTAAAGTCAAGGTATATCACATCCACTGGTCTCCCTGCATCCACAGAGCCATCCATCTCATCATAGAAGGCAATCAGGTTGGTCAGGCATGACTGCCATTTGTGAATCCATGCTGACGGTTCCTAATCACCTTCTTCTCCAAGTGCTTAGAAAAGGATTCCTTGAGGATTTGCTCCATGATTTTTCCAGGGACTGAGGTGAGGCTGACCAGTCTGTAGTTCCCTGGATGCTTCTTCTTCCCTTTCTTAAAGATGGACACTATATTTACCTTTCTCCAATCATTCGAGACCTTTGCTAATCGCCAAGAGTTTTCAAAGATGATGGCCAGTGGCTCTGCAATCACACTGGCCAACTCCCTCAGCACCCTCAGGTGCATCCCATCTGGCCCCATGGACTTGTACATGTCCAGCTTTTCTAGATAGTTCCTAACCTGTTCTTTTGCCATTGTTGGCTGCTCACCTCCCCCCAGACTGTGCTGCTCAGTGCAGTAGTCTGGGAGCCTGCCTTGTCTGGAAGACTGAGGTGAAAACGTCATTGAGCACTTCAGCCTTTTCTGCATCTTCTGTCACTAGGTTGGTCTCCCTCATTCAATAAGGGACCCACACTTTCCTTGATCATCCTCTTGTTACTGACATACTTGTAGAAACCCTTCTTGTTACCCTTCATGTTCCTTGCTAGCTGCAACCCCAATTGTTGCAAGGCAAGGCTTTGGCCTTCCTGATTTCATCCCTGCATGCCCAAGCAATGTCCTTATACTCTTCCCTAGTTGTTTGTCCAGGTTTCAACTTCTTATAAGCTTCTTTTTTGTGTTTTGGTTTCCTGAAGAGTTAGTTCCCTGCCAAGCCAAGATGGTCTTCTGCCATATTTGCTAGCGTTCCTGCACATCAGGATGGTTTGTTCCTGCACCCTCAGTAAGGCTTCTTTCAAGTACAGTCAGGTCTCCTGGACTCCTCTCTCACTCAGACTGGCCTCAAAGGGAATTATGCTCATCAGTTCCCTGAGAAGTGGTGCTTTACTTTAAACTGGGTGCACTCCTGTGCTGAGCCCAGTGCATGCCCAGAAGAGGCAGCATGTTAGTTAGATCTGGCTCACCTGATGTTTGTATAAATTGGGCACTTTAGGTGACTGAGTCAGCTATAGCTAAAAGGGCCAAAAAGCCCCGCTGAAGTGCCTGATCTATATAGGTACTGCAGAGGCAGGTCCTACAGTTGGCAGGAGCAAGGGGTAGGGGGTCAAGTGATTTAACTCTCTCGCTGTCTGTTTCCCTACCATGTTCCCTCCTGCCACTGTTGCAGCAGAGGGATGAATTTAAGATAGTTTCATAGTTGGTACGGGCAGAAGGGACCTGAGCAGATCATCCAGTCCGACTCCCTGCCATGGCAGGAAAGAGTACTGGGCTCAAACAACCCC